TCATGAGTGTATCTTTTTTCAGACGGAAAATCCTTACCGTGAAGCACCCAGCAGGGATTTCCTTATATACGATGAATTGGCCAAGTCATGGGCCCCACCAGTCAAGACTAACCATTGACAAGGGGAAGAGGATTGCAGGATTAATTTCGGCCAGTCATGGATCATCCCCTGTGGCTAGGTACATTCAGGCTACTGTGGTCAAGAAATAAGAGAAATGAACTTTGGGTAGTTGATTTGGCTCAGCTGAGGTCCACGGACCAACAGCATTGGCATCAGCTGAGAATTTGCTAGAAACGCAGAATTTCAGGCCCCACCTTGCACCCAGTGAATCAGAATCTGCATTTGAACAAGATCCTCCAGGCGAGTCTTGCGCAGCCACAGTCTGAGAAGTGCTGTGATTACCCGAGTCAAATTTTACGTGCTAGTGCTTTTGTTGTTGTTGTTGTTGTCGAGGCAGAGTCTCACTCTGGTCACCCAGGCTGGAGTGCAGTGGTCCCTATAGGGAGAGGGATTATGTCTTATCGATCTGTATAGGGAGCGGGATTGTGTCTTATCGATCTGTATAGGGAGCTTGGCATAACGGGTTCTCCACAAAGCTGCTTAAATAGATGAGGAATGACTTTCTGAGTGTGGACTCCTGTACCTGCTCTTGGCCTCTTTTCCTACCTTTGGCATCTATCCCTGCACTTTATTGTTTTAAATCAATCTATTTATTTATTTATTTATTTATTTATTTATTTTTGAGACGGAATTTCACTCTTGTTGCCCAGGCTGGAGTGCAATGGCGCGATCTCGGCTCACCACAACCTCCGCCTCCCAGGTTCAAGCGATTCTCCTGCCTCAGCCTCCCGAGTAGCTGGGATTACAGGCATGCACCACCATCCCCAGCTAATTTTTTTGTATTTTTAGTACAGATGGGGTTTCCCCATGTTGGTCAGGCTGGTCTCGAACTCCCAACCTCAGGTGATTCACCTGGCTCGGCCTCCCAAAGTGCTGGGATTATAGGCATGAGCCACCATGCCCGGCTGATTTTTTGTATTATTAGTAGATACGGGGTTTCTTCATGTTGGGCAGGCTGGTCTCGAACTCCTGACCTCCAGGTGATCCACCCGCCTTGGTCTCCCAAAGTGCTGGGATTACAGGCGTGAGCCACTGTGCCCAGCCTATTTATTGTATTGTATTGTATTGTATTTATTTTATTTTTGTTTTTATTTTGAGATGGGGTCTCACTCTTTCACCCAGGCTGGAGTGCAGGGGTGTGATCACAGCTTACTGCAGCCTCAACCTCCTGGGCTCAAGCGTTCCTCCTATCTCAGCCTCCAGAGTAGCTAGGACCACAGGTGTGAGCAAACCACACCCAGCTAATTATTTATTTTAAAATTCTTTCAATGTTTTTGTAGAGGTGGGGTCTCATTTTCTTGCCCAGGCTCCTCTCAAACTCTTGGGCTCAAGTGATTCTCCCTCCTTGTCCTCTCAAAGTGCTGGGATTATGGCGTGAGCCACTGCACCTGGCCTCTCAAAGTGCTGGGATTATGGTGTGAGCCGCTGCACCCAGCCTATCCCTGCACTTTATTAGAGGTGCCAATTTTCTTTCTTTCTTTTTTTCTTTTTTTCCAAATGGAGTCTCACTCTGTTGCCCAGGCTGGAGTGCAGTGGCATGGTCTCGGCTCACCACAACCTCCGCCTCCCAGGTTCAAGAGATTCTCCTGCCTCAGCCTCCCGAGTAGCTGGGACCACAGGCGCCGCCACCGCGCCCGGCTAATTTTTGTATTTTTAGTAGAGATGGGGTTTCACCATGTTGGCCAGGCTGGTCTCGAACTCCTGACCTCCAGGTGATCCACCCGCCTTGGTCTCCCAAAGTGCTGGGATTACAGGCGTGAGCCACTGTGCCCAGCCTATTTATTGTATTGTATTGTATTGTATTTATTTTATTTTTGTTTTTATTTTGAGATGGGGTCTCACTCTTTCACCCAGGCTGGAGTGCAGGGGTGTGATCACAGCTTACTGCAGCCTCAACCTCCTGGGCTCAAGCGTTCCTCCTATCTCAGCCTCCAGAGTAGCTAGGACCACAGGTGTGAGCAAACCACACCCAGCTAATTATTTATTTTAAAATTCTTTCAATGTTTTTGTAGAGGTGGGGTCTCATTTTCTTGCCCAGGCTCCTCTCAAACTCTTGGGCTCAAGTGATTCTCCCTCCTTGTCCTCTCAAAGTGCTGGGATTATGGCGTGAGCCACTGCACCTGGCCTCTCAAAGTGCTGGGATTATGGTGTGAGCCGCTGCACCCAGCCTATCCCTGCACTTTATTAGAGGTGCCAATTTTCTTTCTTTCTTTTTTTCTTTTTTTCCAAATGGAGTCTCACTCTGTTGCCCAGGCTGGAGTGCAGTGGCATGGTCTCGGCTCACCACAACCTCCGCCTCCCAGGTTCAAGAGATTCTCCTGCCTCAGCCTCCCGAGTAGCTGGAACTACAGGCGCCCGCCAACACGCTGGGCTAATTTTTGTATTTTTACTAGAGTCGGGGGTTTCACCATGTTGGCCAGGCTGGTCTTGAACTCCTGACCTCGTGATCGGCCCGCCTCAGCCTCCCAAACTGCTGGAATGACAGGTGTGAGTCACCACGCCCGGCCCAGATGCTCCAATTTTCACTTCTTGACCTGACCAGGCACCTTAAAATGTCCACACTCAAAACCTGACTCTCAAGTGCTTGAAGCCAAAGACATCTTTGTCCTTAGAAAACAAAATTCCTCCCATAGTCTGCAGTTGTGAAAGCTTCTGGCGGTGTGGACGTGTACTCGCTTCGACAGTCCTGCTGTATGTGTAGCTTTTGTTGTGAGCCGCCTCAAATGCTTTTTTTGGAAGTAGGTGTGGTATAAATAATAAATAAATGAGTGAATATCTGGAAGTGTGGCTGTTTTTATTTAATCATGGGAGAATGTGGTTACCTCTGCGATAAGTCCCTCTGGCCAAGAGTCAACAGGACGGCCCGGCCCCTGTCTAGAATCTAAAAGCTGCAGGCTGATACAGAGGACGGGTGGGGTAGGGGCTGGTTTGGGACTCGGCCTTCCTTTTTGGTGCAGCTTGCTGGTTGCGTAGTAGGTGAGTTTCAGAGAGAAAAAGGTCTGAGGCCTCATCACTGCCATCAGAGCAACTGTCTGTGTGATGAAAGGATCCCTCTGCCTGGGCCTCAGTTTCTCCAAGTGCATAACAAGGAATTTGGCCTCAAAAGGCCCTTTCAACTTGGCTGGTGTGTGTGTTTTGGGGGAGAGGGTCTGTGAGGTGCTTCCCAAAGTGAGGGTGGGGCTGTCCATGCAGGGCAGAGGGGACAGGTAATGGCACCCTGACCACTTTCCTTCTCAACCACCTGCGGCCGTGGGCCTCTCACGGGAGCTGGGAAGGAGCTGAGGGGAGGCTCACTGGCCCCCCTGCTGTAGAAGGGTGTGGTTCCCATTCTTGAGGCTGTTCTGTCCAGGGCAGGAGGCTCAGCAACAGAGAGACCCTGGCCCCTGCTCTGTGCTTTTGGCTCGGGGGACTGTCTCTTCCATGCTCCAAGTGGATTCAGTGGCCAGCCTCTTCCCCACCCGGCCCCAACTAGGATAGAGCAGGCAGGGAGGGAGGAAAAGGGTGCCAAAGGGGGGTGCTTGGGGCACAGACAACCCTCAGGTGCCTGGGGGATCTGAGGGGATCCTAAGTGATGAGACAGCAGCAGGGGGGGCCCTCCACAGTGCCCTGGTGGAGGAGAACAGGGGCTCACATTTGCTCGGCTGCCCAGGCTGCAGTGCAGTGGTATGACCACGGCTCCCTGCGGCCTCCATCTCCCAGACTCAAGTGATCCTCCAGCCTCAGCCTCCTGAGTAGCTGGGACTACAGACATGTGCCAAGATGCTGGTTAATTTTTATTTTAAATGGAGATGGGGTCTTGCTATCTTGCCCAGGCTGGTCTCAAACTCCTGGACTCCAGCGATTCCCCAACCTCAGCTTCCCAAAGTGCTGGGATTGCAGGCGTGAGCCTCACGCCCGCAGCATTGCTGGCTTTGAAAATGAAGACGGGAGCAACAAGCCAAGGGATGCAGGTGACTGACTGCCTGTAATTAGCACAGTGGGTCATGCCTGACTGCCTGTAATTAGCGCAGTGGGTCATGCCTGACTGCCTGTTCTCCCCGTCCTCTGCGGCCCTCTTGGCTTCTGTATCACCGTCACGCGTAGCAGGGCCAGGCTTGCTGAACTGAACCAAAGCAAGAAGAGGAGGGAAGGGCTGTGAGAAGCGTCCATCATGAGGCTCTGTGTCCTCACCTCCCAGGCCTGGCCTCGCCTCACCTGGGGCAGCAGCTTGACATGTGGGTTTTCAGGACTAAGCCTGAAGATCAGCCAGAGGGAAGCTCCTCACCCCTCTGACCCAGCCTTTCCTTCCCCGAGGCTTTGTGGCCACAGTCCTGGAAGACGGAGACGCACTTTGGACTAGCCTCCAGGAGTCAGGCCCTTCACTTCTTTCTTTCTTTTTTTTTCCACCTAAATTTATTTTATTAAAATAACATAAAATTGAGGGACCATCAGATAACTATATTTTGTCAGGTGCAATAAAAACAAAATTAAAACCCAAATCATCAAGAAAACTTGTATTCCTGGCTTCCTTGTATACACAAGATGTGACTAGAGAAACAAGGTTGGCCCTGCGGCCCCACCCCATAGGGGCAGCTCCTGGAAGACAACGTTCAGCATGACGGAAGACTGCTCCCTGAGAGGGCCGAGACGGGGACTGGCTGACGGAAGACTGCTCCCTGAGAGGGCCGAGACGGGGACTGGCTGACGGAAGACTGCTCCCTGAGAGGGCCGAGACGGGGACTGGCTG